GTTGACTTTCTATTAGATGATCTGTCTTTTCATGTGTGGGGGGCATTAAAGTCCCATACTATTTTTGTATTATTATCAATTAGTTCCTTTATGTTTGTTATTAACTGTTTTATGTATCTGGGCACTCCGATATTGGGTGCATACATATTTACAATTGTTATATCTTCTTGTTGGATTGTCCCTTTTATTATTATATAGTGTCCTTCTTTGTCTCTTGTTATAGTTTTTTTTTATTCTCTTTTTTATTGTTATGTTAATCCCCATACATTACATCATTAGTTTTAGATGTAGTGTTCCATGATTCATTGTTTGTGCATAATACCCAGTGCTCCATGCAGAACGTGCCCTCCTCAAAGCCATCACCAGTCTTGTTATAGTTTTTGTTTTAAAGTCTAGTTTGTCTGATATAAGTATTGCTACTCCAGTTTTCTTTTGATGTCCATCCCCTCACTTTCAATCTGCTGGTGTCTTAAGATCTAAAATGATCTCTTGTAGGCAGTGTATAGATGGGTCTGTTTTTTTATACACCCTTTCACCCTATGTCTTTTGATTGGAGCATTTAGCCCATTACATTCAAAGTAATTATTGATAGATGTGTATTTATTACCATTTTATTACCTGCTTTGTGGTTGTTTCTGAAGATTTTCTCTGATTCTTTTTTGTCTTTCTCTCTTTTGTGGTTTGCTGGTTTTCTTTATTTGGATTTATTTCTCCCTTTTCTTTGCATATTTATTAGTGGTTTTTTGATTCGTGGTCACCATTAAGTTTGTATATAACCTCTTCTGCATATAGCAGTCTATATTAAGTTGATCATTTATGTTTGAACCTATTCTTACTCTTCCCCCCCCCACACTGACATTATAGTGTCAGATTTTACATCTTTTTATGTTGTGAGTTCCTTGACTGATATTTTATAAAAATATTTACTGCTTTTGTTTTTCTAACCTTTATACTGTCACTTTTGGTCTTTCCTTTCCACCTACAAAATCCTCTTTAATATTTCTTGCAGGGCTGGTTTAGTGGTCATGGACTCCTTTAGTTTTTGTTTGTCTGGAAAACTCTCCATCTCTCCTATTCTGAAATGATAGTCTTGATGGATAGAGTATTCTTGACTGCAGATTTTTCCCCTTCAGCATTTTGAATATATCATGCCACACCCTTTTGGCTTGGAAAATTTCTGCTGAAAAATCCCCTGCTGTCCTTATGGGTTTCCTCCTGTATGTAACTGTCTTTTTTTTTTTTTTTTTGTCTTGCTGCCTTTTTAAAAAATTTAATTTTATTTTATTATGTTATATTAGTCACCATTCAATACATCATTAGTTTTTGATGTAGTGATCCATGATTCTGTCTTGCTGCTTTAAAATTTTTTCTCTATCACTGTATTTTGCCATTTTACTTACAATGTGTTTTGGTGTGGATCTACTTTTGTTGATTTTGTTGGTGGTTCTCTGTGTCTCCTGGATCTTGATATCTGTTTCCTTACCCAGATTAGGGAAGTTTTCAGCTATTATCTTTTAAAATAAATTTTTTGTCCCCTTTTCTCTTCTTCTTCTGGGATTCCTAAATGCAAATGTTATTACATTTGATGGAGTTACTGAGTTCCCTAAGTCTGTTCTTATTTTGCATAATTCTTTTTTCTCTGTTTTGTTCAGCTTCATTACTTTCCATTACTTTGTCTTCTAGGTCATTAATTCACTCCTCTGCTTCTTTTAGCCTTCTGTTCAATCCTTCAAGTGTTTCTTTGTTTATTGAGCCCTTTATTTCTGCTATGTTATTCTTATCTCTGTGTTAAGGGAATTCATTCATGTTTTTCTCACTCTTTTCTCAAGGCAAGTGAGTATGCTTATGATCATTACTTTAAATTCTCTATCAGGCATGTTACTTATATCTGTTATACTTAGATCTCTGACCATGGTCTTGTCCTGTTCTTTCATTTGTGATAAATTTCTCTGTCTTTTCATTTTGTCTAAATCTTTGTGCCTCCTTGTGTGTGTTTGAAAGTCAGCTATGTCTCCTGTTCTTGAGAGTAGTAGCTTTATGAAGAAGAGGTTGTGCAGTGCCCTGAAGGGTCTGGCACTTCTGGTAGTGTCCCCAGTGTGTACTGTGTGTGCTCCGCTATTGTGTTCTGGCTACATTATCCTTTGTCTGCAGAGGCTCTTTTTGCTTGTTGTGGGCAGTGTTTGGTCCTTGGCCTGAATGTGATGAGTTTTAACTAGGTGTGCTCTGATCTGCTTGTGGTATATGACTTATCTCCACCACTGCTGGAACCGAGGCCCTGCAACACTCGCAGGTTGGGAGACATGGTGTGGGCAGATGTTTGGGCAAGTCTTCAGTGGCATGGTACTTGCTGCGCTGGGACTGAGGTAAGTGTAACTGTGAAGGGCAGTTCCACTGGAGTGCAGGGGGCGGGGGAGGGTGTAAGCAAGTTAGGTAGTGAGTGGCACTGGTTCCTACAGGTGGCCCTATGCTTATGCTGAAGGTTGGGAGAGGGAAATGACATTTGTCAGTTCCTTTGTAGACCCAGAAGGGTCTCTCCATGAATGCTGCCTCTCTGGGACATGCTTCAAGTTGAGCACACAAACTCCTCTCTGTGTGCTCCAGGGATGTCTGTTTTAGATGTCTGTTTCCATGCTGTGTGTCCGCGGGTTGTTTGCCTTCCTTCTCTTCAAGAGCAGCACAATGCCTCCTAGAGCCAAGCATGCTGACCTTTAAAGCTCCAGGCTTTAAGCCCTGTTGGTTGCCAGAAGTCATGAAATTTGGTCTCTCTCGCTTTCCAAGCCAGTTGCTATGGGGGTTCATTTCCCTGTGAGTCCCCCTGTGCTAGTCTATCTCTCGCCCTTCTCTGTGACTGTGGCTCCCTCCCCACTGCAGCAATCATGATCTGTTTCTCTCCCAAATTGCATGTCTGCAATTCCTACCTTCTTTTATGTGGCCTCTTCTTTACCTTTAGTTGTGGAGTTTGTTCTGCTAGTCTTCAGCTCAACCTTGATAGTTATCTAGCTGTATTCATTGGAGGAAGTGAGCCTATAGTCCTCCTACTCTATTACCATCTTCCCCTCTTTGGATCTACCTTGTTTTAACATCTGGTTTTTGAAGACTACTACATGCCAGAACATATATAATCTAATTTAGTTCTCACAACAGCCTTGTGAAGTTTTCAATAACTCCAAAACACCAACTTCAAATGCTAATAATGTAAATGCTGTACTTCTTTCTAAATGGTGGGTGTACTCTTGTCTAAGGCTACATATTTACATGGACATTTGGAGCAAAACAAGGAGATCTGGTTCATTCAACTAGGCAGTTAATTTAAACCCTCTTGTTCTTATAGTGCCTTAATCAACTGTTTGAATTCACCTGCTTTAGCTTTTGTGTAGTTGTGTTTCATTTACTTCTGAAGAATGGGGCATCTCTAGAGGCTGGCAGGCCTCTTATATGCTTATAAAGGGAGAAGGGGAGGTGAATTAGAGATGGAGAGGTGTTAGCCCTGGCACTGTGTTACCAGCAATATCTAGGGATGTTTTCTCAAAACATATACATTTGGAAGCTCTGTGGGGAGAAATGGTCTTATGTTTGAAAACATTTGAGAAGTGCCTGTATTGTATCATAATTACATAAGGCTCTAAGCTGCCCTGTAGTAAAGAGATTTTATTTCAAACTTTTTTCAAAATTTTTTTTCAAACTTTACCAAAAAAACCATACCCCCCCCCCCACACACACACCAACACCCAAACAAACAGTGGTGGGTGTATGTGTATGCATGTAACATTCATTCTTTTACTCATGTGACAGATAGTTTTGAGTACCTGAACCAGGTATTTTCTAGGCACTGGGGATTACAGCAGCCCTTATGAGGCTTGCTAAATAGGGACATGTCATGGGACACATTTTGGGAAACACTGGCTGAGGAGTTCTTGTGTCTACTTTCCTTAAAAAGGGAAAATTCAAGGATATATAGTTCTTAGATTTGTAAATATATGGAATGATGACTAGTCACCAGGGTAGTGAGACCTCATCCTCTTTTGACTTCTATAATATTCTCCAGAAACAGAGGAGTTACAGGAACCACAGAATTTGAGGGCTTGAAAGGATGCTTTTCTCCTCATTCTGCATCTAATTTGACCCACCTGCACACTCATATTTCTTTGGCCATAAGTATTGGTCTGTCACCAGCTGGTCATGCAGACACCTCCCTAGGACCTGTCCTATTTTCTTCCTGACCTGCTATTGTTCCCATTCTCATTTCCACTTAGCTAGGAGTTTTTTGAAATATCCTAAACCTCAGGCCCATCTTTGACCCATTTAGCCTTTATATTTATATCCATTTTTCTCAGTTTTTTCCTACAGACTGAAGAAAAAAAATGAATCTGGTAGTTAGGTCACTGGACCTTCAAGGGAAGGGTTTCTGAATAGTAGCAGAATTTGAAGTGAAACTGAAAAGGATTGAGTGTTGAGTGGAATTGGAAATGAAGGAAGTTCGGGATAAATGTGAGAATTTGCGGTAAAAGTGAAGAGAGATATGGGAAGGTCACTTGACTAATTTAGCAGAATGGCTTGCATGAAAGTTTACTGACATAGGGAATATGTAAGCATAGCCATAGGGTGTAGTCAAGGATCCTGAGAAAGAAGATTTATCTTCTAACTGAAGGAGAAGAAGTCAGGTTGGCAGGAGGGATTAGCCTTGGAAAGGGGATCTTTATTTTTGGCTTAAGTGGGAATGGAGAAAGGTTGAACATAGGGACAGAGAACATGGAAATGGACAGATCCACTGATTACCTGGTTCACTCAAGGCCACATGCCTTATCCGCTCTTCCTTTATGGTATATGTGACCAGACATTGAGTGAGATTTTCTGTAGTCCTGAATTGGTGCTAAAGCCCAAAGGTGAAGAAAAAGGTTCTAAGTGCCCGACATTCTAAATTCAAGGATCTGTCAGATCATTTTCTAGGTACCAGTTCAGATCCCAGCTCTCTTACCAACCTCTCTTTCCCCCTTTTCTAGTATAATAGGGTCAGAGGACTGAAAGTGAAGAAGAGTCACCTTAGGATGCACAATTCATGGAGAGAGACTTTGCACTTCCAGCCCATGGGAGGTGCTTCCCTCCCTGAAGTCAAGGTAAATGAAGACTGTCCAAGAATTGAAAAGATTGGTAGTTTCTGCATGAAAGGAAGTTATTGATATTTCATTCCTCAGTTGATTTCTTCTTAGCCAGTTGACTCTTAACATGCTCTGTACCATGTGAATAGGAGAGACAGAATTGGAAAAAATGATATGTGGGATGGTCTGCCCAAGAAGGCTGCCAACATGCTCCCTTCAAGTGCCCAGTTCCCAGAAAGTATGGAGATGTTGACTCTGGCAGAAAGGTGATACTGGGGAACCTAAATCTGCTGATGGGTTTTGGGTGCTGGAGCTGAGGCAAAGGTGTATGTATATCAGTGGGTAATGGCAAAAAGGTGGAAGTCAAACTGATAAGGAGGCCAAGTCTGGCAGGGGATGGCTAGTACATAGAAGGTCTGCACAAAAGCAAACCCTGGCAGTGGGGCCCACTATTGCTCTCATGAACCATGACGTATCCTGTTGACAATGAGCTAGAACAACTAACCCATGAGTGGGCAGCAGCTTCATCTTGTTAAGGCAGATGTTTGGCAAAGCAAAGACAGATCTAGCTAGCGCTGAAGTTTATGAGGAGGAGATGATTCTTGAACTGAATTTGATGTAAAAGATTTATACATAAAATGGCATTAAACCTTAAATGCTAAACTGAGGCTGTTCTAATAGCCACAGAATTTAAGAGGCTAAAAGATTAAGCTGTGATGCTGTCCAGGGACCCACTACTCAATTGGATAGGAAGGTTCAATAAAAGTTTCAGGTTTGTATTCCCAATGAATTGACACTCTGCAACCAACCAGTTACAAATTAACCAAACTTGAATTTAAAGCCCATATACTGTAACATGAGCTCCTTGAGAGTGGGGCCATGTTTATATTAACACTTCCTCTATAATCCCTTACAGGATAATCCTTACTGGATTGCTATTGAAAACCTAATCAGTGCTAAATACCTATTGATGCATGAATTAATTGATCAAATTGTTTTTTCCCAGAGGTTGGCAGAGTAAGTTTTACCTCTACTGGCTTAGAGAGGTACCTCTGCTCCCCATTAACTGAGGGGATACCATAAGGGACACCATGTGAATATGAGAAAGTTCGATCATATTCAAGGCTAACCCTTACCTCTTTGTCCTCAGACTCTCATGGGAGACCTCTGTTTGTCCCTGACACACAGAGTTCTGTCCATTTTCTATGAATTAAAGTTTTTTTTTGGAAAGTAAACTCCCATTTTGATAATCTGGCTTCATTCATTTATTCAACAAATATTTTTGAGCTTCTCCTATCGTCAAGCACTGCACCAAGGGCAAAAGCCTCCTGCTGTCATGGTCTGATGAAGGAAGAACACTGAATTAATGACAGAATCTCACAACAAGTACATAAACACAAGGAGGGTCAAGTGTTATGGAGGAATAGAGTCTGACTCTGTGAGAGTGAAGGTCAGAAGAGCACCACCCACCTGGGCTCAGGGAAGACTGGGGCTGAGAGCTGACAGATGAATGGGAGAGAACTCGTAAGGGGATGGGAACTTGGATGAGATTTGGGGACAGTTTTGTTCCTGACACAGGGAGCCATGTGCAACAATCCTGCGGTGGGAGTGGCATCTTTGGGGAGTTTATAAGGTGGTTCAGGTATAAATTAGAATTAACTCTTGTTTGATTTGACTATGATGAGCGAATTGCCTGTCCTTTTACTCCTCCTCCCCATTTCCTCAGATACAAACCAGGCAGTGGTTTTTACTCACCTGATACTGAAAACATCTCATAGGTACCCATGACATGGTTAAAGGGCCTGAACAAAGTCAGGGAATCCACACCAATTCAGCTAGGCAAAAGATAAGGGGAGGAAGGGACCCGGAGAATGGAGGGAAACATCTTTCACGCCAGGCTGTGCGTGTTAATAGACTAAAGAGTCATCTGATTCTCACATTCATTCCCACTGTCTTTACTAGGAGTTTGAGGGCAGTGTCCCAAAACACATTCTTCCAGTAACCAATGTTAAGATGGTTTCTTGATAGTTCCTGAGAGGTATTGATCACTAAGGAGCTCAGGAGCATAACGATGTAGGGAGATCAAACAGGGGATCTGGTTCCTGATTTTAAAGCAAAGCAAAGTTTCCTTCATTAAAAACTCAGTGAAGAGAAGGGAGAACAGGATGGAAGGAAAATCAGTGGGCAGCTGTGGGCACTGACTTCCTGTCAGCCAGCCCCCCAGCTGATCCATCACAGTGCCATGCCCCGTGGAGCCAGCCCATCGAGTATGCTGTCTCTCCCGGGGGCACAGCTAATTTTTGTGCCAAACAGAGGATGGAATTTACTGATGGAAAAAAATACTGCAAGGCAATGATGGTTTTGTTGCAAAACAAAACAAAAGATCATGAAAAGCTTTTTTTAAAAAAGATTTTATTTACTTATTTATTTAAGAAAGAGAGAGAGAGAAAGCGGGGGGGGGGGGGGGAGGAGCAGAGGAAGAGGGACAAGCAGACTCTGCACTGAGCACAGAGCCAGACGTGGGGCTTGATCCCATGACCCTGAGATCTCCATCCTGAGATCATGACCTGAGCCAAAACCAAGAGTCAGAGGCTTAACCAACTGAGCCACCCAGGCATCATCCCAATCATGGAAAACTTTAAAGATTTTATTTATTTATTTGACACACAGAGAGAGACAGCTAGAGAGGGAACACAAGCAGAGGGAGTGGGAGATGGAGAAGCAGGCTCTCTGCTGAGCAGGGAGCCTGATGCGGGGCTCGATCCCAGGACCCCGGGATCATGACCTGAGCCGAAGGCAGACGCTTAACGACTGAGCCACTCAGGCACCCCTCAGTCATGGAAAACTTTAAAATCACCTTTGCAAGACTGAAATTAAAGCTTGTGGATTCAGTGTTTGTGGGACCCCGAGTTTCTCCCACTGCCACAGTCCCTTTAGATGCCATGCTTTAGGCTTTCCTCCCCGAGTTCTTGTCTGTCTCTTGCATTTATCCCACAGCTCTGGAAACAGACAGACCTGCAGGCAAATCTTGGGCAGTCTTTGACCACCCTGCACCTGTATCTTTGTGAGATTAAATAATCGGATAGCCCACATCATAGGGCTGGGGTGAGGCTCAACTAGTTAATACCTGTCAAGTACTTAGCATCTGGCACTCAAATCTCAAATGTAAGTTCCATGACTAGAGGCATTTTTTGGTGCATTTTTGTTCCCTGCTGCCTCCTCAGTGCCTAGAACAGTGCCGGGCACCAAAGTAGGTGATCAGTAAATATCCGCAAGTGAATGTATGGCATGAGGTTCTCTGTAAGTGTTACGTATTGTTATATCCTTCTTTAGAGTTCACGTCCCTTGAGAAAAAAAGTCTTTTCTTTTTCTGTGACTTTGTACAATATCTAAGGCAGACTGTAGCTCCCTCTGTCCACTCTTGCCCTTCCTCCAAGCACATAACTGCTCTTCCCCTAAACCCTTTACATGCCTCCTTACGTCCTTAGCATAAAGTCCAGTATCCTTATGGTGGTTGACATGCACATCGTGATTTGGTCCTTGTCTACTTATACTTCTTCCTTGGCTCTCTGATAGCATCTCCTCCACGCCAGTGCCTGTAATAGAGCAGTTCTGTGCTCCAGTTTCATTGTCCTTCATGGTTCCTCCAATGAGCCATATCGTTTTGCTTCCAGGCCTTCAAACATGCTATTGCTTTTGCCCCAATATTCTTTTATTCTCCTTTGTTTGGCTGTCTCATACTCATTCTTCAAGCTTCAAATTAAATGTTGCTTTCACAGTACAGTTTTCATTGACTCCCTACACTTGGTTAGCTATTTCTTTATAATTATGTTCCCATAACACTCCATATGCCTCTTTTGCATCATTTAGCATATATTAATATTTGTCATACTGGTTTGTACCTGATTGAAGAATTGATGAGGACTAGCATCCGATCTGTATTGTTCAGTATGCTACCCCTTCAACCTAGCCTAATGTGGGACACTCAGTAGGTGCTCAGAGAGTTATCTGTAAATAAATTTCAAGTGAAGAACATATAAAGAGGGAAGGTTTTGGATTCAGGCACATCTGGTTTTAATTCTAACTTCACTATCTGCTTCTCCTGTGATTTTGGCCAAGACACTTACTTTATAGAGTCCTAATGTTTATTTATGTAAGATAGGGATAATACAACTGATCTCATAGGGTTTTATTTAAAGGTTAAATTGGAGACAGTATATAAAATGCCTCAAACATTAGCTGGCTCGTAATGTATGCTTAATAAAGTTAATCATTATAATTATTATCATTAGTAATCTAAGCATGGCCTTGAAGAAAAGCTACTTATGTACTCATTGAGAACAAGTAATACTCAACAAATATTTAGGAATACCTTTTTCCTTTATTGTATTCCGCAATTAATCTTTGACATCAAGCTAAATAAACTATATTCTTGGCTTAAGGATGAAAAAAAAAAAAAACCAACACACAGTTGTCCCTTCACTAAACTAAGTGACCACCTTATTCTTAATTCTTCATATAGCATTTGGGGCTTCATGTTTCTCTTCTTACATCTGGCTCACATAGATTATCATTATTGTATGATTCAGGTGAGCAGAAGAGAAGTATTTGTGAGCTTTGTATTGTGCAAGGCCCTTCATTTACATTCTCTCATGTACTAATTATTAGTAAATAAATAGAGAAAGCCTGCGGTGGTTAAAAGCATGGCCTTTAGAGTCAGAGATCAAGGTTCAAACCTCAGCTCCACCACTTACTAAGTGGGCCACCTTGGGCAAACTTTTAAGGTAGGGCCTGGCACACAAGTGTCCAATGAATGGTTATTATGACTGTGTTGTGAAATGGTAATGGGTAGACATTTGTGAGGCTAATGAATGATTTATTTATTTTAAGAAGAATTGCCGAGTCTTCACAGAAGACACAGTGTTTTGCAGAGACAACACACTACTCTAGGAAAGTTCTCACCACCTTGTCACTGGAGAATGTTGATCGTCACTGTCAGTTGTTAAACGGGTGTGTTT